AAAATGGATTACTGATGAATTCTCAAGATAATTCATTGCTTACAAGTTGACAGCCAGTAAAACATTGCATTGATCTAAAATTTTGACGTTTTAAGAAATCATTTTGCTTAAGCCAGCCATACGACTCAAATATAAAATTTTATTTTAAAAGGCACCGATTTTGATAATTGTCATAGATTTTTGTTCCAAATAAATGTTTCTCTTTATTTACCTTTTCGTTTTATTCACTACCACCAATAGGTTTTACTCAAATAATAGTGTTAATTTACACTAGAAGTTTGCACTAAAAGAGTAAAAGTACCTTTCTAAAATTAGAACTTTTCCAAAGTGGTGTTAATTTACACTGAACAAAAGTGGGATTTTACCCAGGAAGTGTGGAAGTACACAATTTTAGGTAAATTAACACTTTTTAATACAGTGTAAAATTACTTTATCCTCAGTGCTATAGTGTTAAATCATACTTGCTTACTTGGGGAAAATTACACTACAAATTAACTCTAATTGTAGTGTTATAAAACAACACTATTTAGTGTGGACCTGTGTGAACTCTAATTAGTGTTGCTTAGAGTTGATTTTTTTTACTGTGTATCAGAAAACGGTAAGCCATTTAAAATAATTGTTTATTTATTGCAATGGCACGTTTTCTTGGTTGGAGCATAGGAAGGTACCATTTTATCAATGATTCGATCTAGCGGATTGTTTATACCTATGCTAATACAATTGTGAAGTGGTTTTGAAAATAGCATATCTATGTAGCAATCATAACACTTAATGGAAGAATGTTTACCACTGCTATTTTCCGTTTGATAACCCATTGTTTAACATCGAATCGCTCGCTTTTACTTACTTCACTTGATTAACGTTTCTGTTTTACTCACTTCTTTCTTATCTAACGTATTATTGCCGCGACCTGTTTGAACCTCTTGAACTTAAATTATTTTGAAAGTTATCCAAGTATTTTAATTTTGTTTCAAATACTAATAATATTAAAATGAAATACCTACACGGATTATTAAAATAATATTATCGTAATATATAATCAAATTATTAAAAATTATTGCACAATTAATAGTGAAATAATAAACAAGGGAGCAGTTTTAATCTTTAAAACCATTGGGATTAATAAATTTAAAGGGTAAAAAAATGAATTGTTACTTTCAAATAATTAAAATATTGGTTCAAAAAATTTTACTTAAAATAGAATGTTTTATTTAAAATATTGGATAATTATACTAAATATAAATGTATGTAAATGAAACTAACTGGAAAGGTTGAATAAAATATCAAATTTATAGTAATTGGACCCATGGACCATAGTTATTGGACATATAATTTTTTTATAAACATAACAACTTTACATCAAATAACATAAATTGTTAAATATTTTTTAAAGATAAATTGCTGTTTTAGGTAATTTTTTATTTCGTTTTCGTAAATATCATATAATTCATATATTTCTTTCTCGGATTCCTCATCCCTTTTCTGGATTACTAATTCCTTGGTCTGACTTCTGAAATAGTTTGTTGCAAATATCATTAAGTGTGGTATCTCTAGTTTGTGAAGCATTTATAATGTTTAGGCCGGAACAGGATGATTTATATTTATCCAATATTTTTTCGGGTGGTATGTTAAAAGTATTTTCCGAATTTATTAATTTTGTTGCCATTAGTTTTTTATGTTCTCTATCATGCATGTGCATGCACTGCATTTAAATCACTGTTATTCTGCAAGATGTCCTGTGACGAAGAAATCGCTATATTACTTACTCTCTAAAAATGAGTTAGTCAAAAATGTCATAGCGAAAAAGCAGCCACTAATAATTCTCGTCAACAGCATTTTGTATCCAGGACATTTACCAGTCAATTCCTATGAAATATTATTCGCTGAATCCGAAAATGTCGTCAAAAGTTATAAAAGTAGAACAGTTTTAGAAATGTAATCAATTTTACTTATAATATGGAATTGACTATATCTCAAAAACTGCTTAACTTTTATAGTTTTTCACGGTCTTTTCGGATTCAGGAGACAATTTTACATAAGAATTGTTTTGTAAATGCTCGGGATATAAATAGAGTATGATATTGGACATATGTCCAATAATAGAAATTTACATTTTTTACCAACCAGTAATTGGACACTGGCCACTCTACTTTTAAAATATTTTTTGTTTTTTGTTAAAAATTTTTAATTATTTAATTATTTTTTTATTTTATTTTATAAATTTAAATACAGTTCAGTGGTAAAAGGGCAATTCTTGACCAAGTTTTAACCTCATATGATTTTCTAGGTACTAGCAATAGAAGACAAACTAGCAACAAACAATTGTCAGCTGTGGGTATCTTTGACTTTCGCAGCAAATTTATGAAGAGTGTAGGCTGCAACAGTATGCTTTTGTATACACTATAGTGATCATATAAGTAAAAGGAAGGTCTTAGGTCCCGTCCTGTCCATGACCTATGACCCACGCTGCGCCCGGCTTTATGCCAGCCGTATACACACACACACAAAACATTTGACTCAACTCTGAGCTCTCGAACCTATACTGACTGACTGACTGACTGACTAAGGTGCAATGAGCGCGTATTTACAAATTTGAATTTTTAATTTTTCGTTTTTTTTTGTTATCTGTGTAAAACAGTGCTTTTTGTTTGTGAAAGTGTTGTTAAAATGATTAAAACAGAACTTGATTTTGATTTATTGGATATAGAAGGTAAGTTTTTAAATCCAAAAGTTATTCTGTTAATATTTTCATTTCTAAAAAGTTTACAGATCAGTGTGTGGTATAAATGTGTTCCTCATGGTTTAAACATTCACTTTAATGCGCTTTAATTTTAATTCTGAAAACAAACAGTGAAAATACCAGTGTCCAATTACTGGTTGGTAACAAATGTAAATTTATATTATTGGACATATGTCCAATATCATACTCTATTTGTATCCCGGACATTTACCAGCCAATTCTTATGTAAAATTGTCCCCTGAATCCTAAAGACCGTCAAAAACTATAAAAGTTATGCACTTTTTGAGATATAGTCAATTCCATATTATATGTAAAATTGATTAAATTTCAAAAACGGTTCTACTTTTATAACTTTTGACGACATTTTCGGATTCACCGAATAATATTTCAAAGGAATTGACTGCTAAATGTCCTGGATACAAATTGCTGTTGACGAGAATTATTAGTCGCTATGACATTTTTGACTAATTTATTTTTTGAGAGTAAGTTATATAGTGATTTCTTCGTCACAGGACATCTTGCAGAAAAACAGTGCATGATAGAGAACATAAAAAACTAATGGCAACAAAATTAATAAATTCGGAAAATACTTACCACCCGAAAAAATATTAGATATATATAAATCATCCTGTTCCGGCCTAAACGTTATAAATGCTTCACAAACTAGAGATACCACACTTAATGATATTTGAAGCAACCTATTTCAGAAGTCAGGCCAAGGAATTAGTAGTTCCTTCAGAATCCAGAAACGGGATAAGGAATCCGAGAAAGAAATATATTAACAAAAACAAAATAAAAAAATTACCTAAAACAGTAATTTCTCTTTAAAAAATATTTAACAATTTATTTTATTTAATGTAAATGTAATTTAACTTTTTGACCTATTATTAACAGTTTAGTTTTTAAATCTTAAAAACGCGTTATTTTAACAAAATAATATTATATTGTCAGAAGGAACTTAACCAGCAATATATTTATAACCTTTTAACCCAACAGTTTTAATTGTTCTGCCTAAATACAGCGATAGTTTCTCATTGAAAGGCAGCGTTCAAAAAATACAAAAGCCATTATATTCGCCATTTATTGCTTTGAAACGGCAAATCCTAATTAGTGGAACAAGCGGATAGGTCAGTCAAAAGTTACATAAATTATAGTTTTTAGTCAAAAAATAAATAACGTATTTTTTTTTATAAAAAATATCATTTTTATTTAATTTTTTTGCGTAGTTTTAAGATTAAAGTATCTCAAGTCGATTTCCACATAGCCTAGAATGGTATGAAATATAATATGCCCTCTACAAAGGTCAAAGTGTGGTCGTGTTATGACACGAATATTTTTTATTATTTTTTTGATATTTTTAGTTTTATTGTTTTTTAGATCTAGAAACTAAACTATTAATGTTGGGTAAAAAAATTAAATAGCAATTTTGTAGTACTTTTAATTTTCCACAAAATTGTTAAAAAGTGTACTGATCAGTGTGTGGTATAAATGTGTTCATCATGGTTTAAACATTGTCACTTTAATGCGTTTTATTTTTAATTCTGCAAACAAACAGTAAAATGGCCAGTGTCCAATTACTGGTTGGTAAAAAATGTAAATTTCTATTATTGGACATATGTCCAATATCATACTCTATTTGTGTCCCGGACATTTACCAGCCAATTCTCCTGAATCCGAAAAGACCGTCAAAAACCATAAAAGTTAATCAGTTTTTGAGATATAGTCAATTCCATATTATATGTAAAATTGATATATTTCAAAAACTGTAAACTTTTGACGACATTTGACTGCTAAATGTCTTGAATACAAATTGCTGTTGAGAAGAATTATTAGTGGCTGCTTTTCACTATGACATTTTTGACTAATTGATTTTTAGAGAGTAAGTAATATAGTGATTTCTTCGTCACAGGACATCTTGCAGAATAACAGTGATTTAAATACAGTGCATGATAGAGAACATAAAAAACTAATGGCAACAAAATTAATAAATTCGGAAAATACTTTTAACATACCACCCGAAAAAATATTAGATATATATATATATATATATATAAATCATCCTGTTCCGGTCTAAAATTATAAAACACACTTAATGATATTTGCAACAAACTATTTCAGAAGTCAGACCAAGGAATTAAGTTGCCTTCATAATCCAGAAAATGATTGACTGTATAACTAACAAACTACAAACTCATGTTAACAAATTTGATTTTTATAACAGCGTTGATACATATTAAACTATTATTTGTGTTTTTTTCAGATACAAAATTTTGCAGTTATTATGGTAAGTCAGTTTTTGTTTTAAAACCTATTTTAAGACTTTAAACTAATTGTTTTAAATAACATTACGCTGTGTACTTTTCAATCGCTTTTCATTTAACATATGTTTATAATTTATGTGGTTTGACATGTCGTAAATTACATAGCTTAGATATTCCAATAAACTGGTCGACTTCCTTTTGCTGGTTGAGCCAGAATCGCGCTCCTTTTTGTTCATATTTTCCGACCACTTCCCACGAGAAGCCATTAATATTGATTTTCCATGGGCATTTTTGCTTCTGCTCCACATACACCATCGGCAATTAACATGTAGAACATTTCCCCCCTTCAAAATAAGTAGTTGAGTTGGTTATGATCACCTTGCAAAGACATTTGTGAAACAGCCAGTATACTCTAGTAAATAAAATGCGTTTTGCTAAATCGTGATTCAATTAATTACTTAACATCTCAAGTACCTTTCAACGCATTCAAAACCAAATAAACAACATTCAAATCGCTCCTAAACTAAATCAAATGCTCTTTATAACCATTTAGAAAAGCTATGGGTGTATAAATCCGTCTTGGTACGTAGCGTGAAAGTTAAACTGTAACAAATGATGGTGGTACCACGTCGTACACGTGGGGTTATTTAATTAAATCGGTTGGTGGTACTCACCAGAGATGCATGAAGTGTTATATTACAGTTTCTCTATAATTGGAGAAAGGTGCTAATTACCCAGGATAGTACGATCTAATCTGTAATGCCTTATAAGTACTTTATGCAAAATCCTTATCTTAATTTGATGTTATAGATTGGCTGGTTTTAGAAATGCAAATTTGTACAAAAAAGTTCATTTTTATGGCCTGTGAAGCTCCTACTTACAAGCAAAGAGCGTAAACTATTTACCTACTAATATCCACAGTAAAAAAATCAACTCTAAGCAGCACTAATTAGAGTTCACATAGGTCCACACTAAATAGTGTTGTTTTATAACACTACAATTAGAGTTAATTTGTAGTGTAATTTTCCCCAAGTAAGCAAGTATGATTTAACACTATAGCACTGAGGATAAAGTAATTTTACACTGTATTAAAAAGTGTTAATTTACCTAAAATCGTGTACTTCTACACTTCCTGGGTAAAATCCCACTTTTGTTCAGTGTAAATTAACACTAAAGTTCTAATTTTAGAAAGGTACTTTTACTCTTTTAGTGCAAACTTCTAGTGTAAATTAACACTATTATTTGAGAAAAACCTTTTAGTGGTAATGAATAAAACGAAAAGGTAAATAAAGAGAAACATTTATTTGGAACAAAAATCTATGAAAATTATCAAAATCGGTGCCTTTTAAAATATAATTTTATATTTGAGTCGTATGGCTGGCTTAAGCAAAATAGTTCCTTAAAACTTAAAAGTTTTAGATCAATGCAATGATTTACTGGCTGTCAACTTGTAAGCAATGAATTATCTTGAGAATTCATCAGTAATCCATTTTTCTGTTATAAAAAATGGGTGATCCCATTGGTAGAGAGGCGTCAGGCGGCTGTATGTCGGGTATTTACCACACGTGTACTAATTTTCCATAATATTAATAAAAATGTATGTATAGGTTAATATAACAACCATTACGCTTAAATTTACAAGTACCCGACCTATAGGTATATAGTATACTGCCGTATATTATTGATATATAATATAGGTCGGGTATGGACATCCTTTTAACATATTAGTATTTATTGAGTATTAAGGCTTAAAGAAAAAGGAAGTATAATACTTACCAAAAAATAACAATGTCCCCTTATGGATTCACCGTAATTAAAATCTAACTGAACAAAAATGCCACACTTCCACAACGCGGTATCTCCGGATATGCACCGCGTAGGTAGATAGGTACCAACCAAACATTTTAAGACGCATTTCGGATATTACCAGTTTTTTCAGTCTATTTTGCCACTATTGGTTTAATTTAACTTTAATTGTGATACAATGTGCACTAGTAGCGTAAAGAAAAAAGAGCTCTTAGTAACATCGAAACAGACAAAGAAATTGGCATGCACTGTAGTGTACATTTTGTCACTATTTAACACATTAAGGGGTAATAAACACTCGCATTAAGTTTTTCTACCCTTTTGATTTATATTAATAATAAATAGTGTGAATGTACCAATGAATAATGTTCATATTCTTTAAATGTGTTTAATAAAGTTAATAAGCACTAAATGCTACCTAGTGTATTTTGTAACTTTTACACTTACAAATCAACTCTAATATTTTTACAGATACTTTTGGGATATTTTATATGATCGGGTGTTGAGTGCATCTTTGACATCAACAACCGATTTGCTGACTGTTTTTCCTGATGTAGCACCATCGCCATAACCTTGACATTTGTGTCATCACAAAATTGTTAAGGTAATTGTTAAGGTAACAAGTTGTATGTGTACCTCTTTGTACGGCAGTAAGAGCTAATTAGATTTTTTTCTGGGACAATATGTTACGTTATCTGATTGGTGTTAACAAACTGGTATCTTAACAATTATCTTGCGATTAACAAAGCCATGTACTAGGTACATACAATGAATGCGAGTGGTCTGTGTTGTGTTTCTGTTATCTTTTCGCTCGGGAAGTGAAATCAAATTGCATGCCGCTTGTTTGGATGGGGTCATTCCATGACAAACGATACTAAGGGCGAAAAAATAAATATCTTCTTTTCGCATTAAATCTGAATTTTGAAAGAAAACATTATATCTGTAGGTACTCAAGTAAACTGGCTGAATGACCATTGTGCCTCTTACTTATTGGAAATACCAAAAAATCATCCCATGAAATTTTTTCGAATGTTTTGGGTATGAAACGCGTGCCAGCAAAATTTGTTCTAAAATTGTTAAATTTTGAACAAAATTTTTGACCAAAAACAATACTTTAATGATGCCCCAGCCTCCATATTCGCCAGACATGCCTCTGTCTGACTTTTTCCTATTCCCAAAAATAAAGAGAACCTTAAAGGGCCGTCGTTTTGCAAGCATAGATGACATTAAAAGCGCATCGCTGAAAGAACTAAAGGCTATCCCAAAGATCGAGTTTTAGAAGTGTTTCGAGTATTGGAAGAAGAGCTGGCACATGTGCATAATATTTTGAAGGGGACAAAATTAATGTAGACGAATAAATAAATATTTGTTTCAAAAAACTAAAAATAGTGATAGAGCCTTGCTACTCTAAATGACCCAAACAACCTTCGATTCATTGATAAGTCATTAAATCTTCCCCAGTTGTTCCACTAACATCCATGCGGTTCTCTTATTTTCTTCTCCAAGTTGCTTCTAATTAAAATAGAATACCTGTGGGTATAATTTTCCAAATTATACATCTCTTTATTATAATAATTTGTACGGAACATCCTGCCTATAAGTCATAAAAGTGACCACTGTATTGGTAGCAGATAATTTGCGGCAAGACGGCACGACATGCCTTTCGTACTCTAAAGAACTTCTTGCAGGACAACAATATCACATTGGGTCGAAGCTTGATTCGAACCTGGTTAAAAGTTTTTTATTTTTCTATATCGATACAAACCAAAATGGTGTTAAATATGGTTCGTTGGTCCGGTGTAAATTCAAATGCTAAAATAGTGTTAATTTAACTTTCACACAGTATTAAAATAAATTTAACCTGGTGTAAATTGAACTCCTTTTCAGTGTTAAATATTATGTCCTTTTTGTCAAAATAAATCATACTACACAGAAAAAAGGAAAAAAAGGAAACAGGAAGTTCCTTGACGCATTACTAGTATATTACCAATGGTATTATTCCAGAAAATTGAACCTTCAACTCGCTAGAGATAATTTTTTAGTGCGTTCCACCAACTTCAAATACTTCAAGTATTAACAACTGTTTACCTAAGCTATTTAAGGTCTCTTTAGTATCGGACAACTTGTAGTGACACCAGTGTTCCCAACCTTTCAGAGTAATAATTCCCTTGTTGCATGGCAAAAATTCCCTATTTCGTGCCAAAATTCCCTGCTTTCAATGTTGCCAAGAAAAATGACTTCATATCAAAAATACAATTTTTAAAATAAATTTTATTATGTTTGTAACAAAAAAATAAAATAAAATAAAAAACAAACGCCAAAACAACATCTGAGGCGTATACTGCAAAAGCGTCCTAACTGAAAAAAATCATTTTGTGTTTTTATCTTAAAATATTTCTATAATGCGCTTATCGAGTGAGCTAGCCTATTATAATAAAGTGTATTTTAATATACAGAGTAGTAACTACTCTTCATATTAAAACACACTTTAGCTCACTCGATAAGCGCATTATAGGAATAATATATTATATATAATAATATATTATATGTCGAGATAAAAACAAAAAATATTTTTTTTTCAGTTGGGCCGCTTTTGCAGTACACGCCTCATCTAACAAATAAATTATTAAAATATAAGGGTAAACACGAGTAAACATGAAATAAAATTGATTTAATTTAATTTTATTAAAACTCGCAGTTGACATATAGTTAGTTCTTCTTCTAGCCACAACATTTGTACTTCTTTTTATTTTGGGTCACTTTATTAAATAAGTGACCGAAAAAAAAGTGTAATCTATAACGTGAGCTTTTTAATAATAAATATGAAAAATTCCCTAATTTTAACAATTTTTACAAAAAAATTCCCTTTTCCCTTTTTGGTACCAAAATTCCCTAAAAAGGGAAAATTCCCTGCAGTTGGGAACACTGAGTGACACACCAAAGCAAAGGACTACCTGAGCTTATATACTCTTCATGTAAGTCAGCAGAGGCGAGATTTAAGAACATCACGTGATCCACACCGCCTTTGCCGCGATCGGTACATACTATGCAACCGGGAATGCACGGCAAATTGTTTTAATCGTTTTAACAGAGTGCTTTAGGTTGAAATAACTCTTATTTTACAAACAACATATTTAGTAAACTGAACCATACAGCGGGTTGGTTTCACTAAAGTTTTCTGGGTTAATTTAACCAATTTAAAAAAAAAATAAAAGAA